ACAGGAGATCGATAAGTTGGTGTGGGTGATGTATTACGTGGTTCCCTTCACTGTCGTCTCTTGTGAATACCAATACAAGGTTGTCTAAAAATTCAATCAAAACTTTTATAAAAAGTTACAAAACTTAAACAATAAAAGAGAAAAAAAATGAAATTAAAGGATCAAATGTGTTATTGAATCTTGAAACCCAAATTAACATAGTGTGTTTGGTTCTACAGTGGAAAAAAAATAATTTTTTGAAGGAATTTATTTGTACAATTGATTTTAGTTAAAATTGAGTTTAATATAAAGTGATTTATGTTTGGATATATTCACATCAAAAGTGATTTGTATGAAAAATATTTGAATGTTTTTATCAAAATTGCTTTTGAATGTGTAAATGGAAAAGGGCAAAAAAAAGTTGAGAGTTAGTGATGTTGTTCAATTTAAGGGGAAAAAAGAAAAACGGATGGAAATGGAGAATTGATTCCTAGAATTGATTTCAAGAAGTTAGGAATTATAACTTCATAAAAATCAATTATGAATCAGATAAAACACGATGACAGAAGACTGTTTGAGAATGGCAAACACTTTAAAATTGATTTTAAGAGCTCATAATTGATTCTTATGCTTTTTACCGGGTAACCAAACATAAGAATAGAGACACTTGTTTTATAAAAAAATACTGAACATCAAATGGAAAACACTATCTTGGATACCCCGATAACACAATAATTTGTTTGAGAAAATAGTGATTACAATGAATAATAACAAACAAATAAAAATAAGTCCGTTGAATCTAATTGTAGCTTCCTCTAAAATTAATTTTATAAAGAGATATTGAAAAGAAAAACAAATTTTAGAACAAATGAACATAAATGAAGAACAAAAGAGTTAAACTATTAATCGTATATGTAATGCAAGAAAGTGAAGTAAAAACTAATAACTATCAAAAAGGGACGTAAAAGAATGACTCAAACTGGAAACAAGAAAGTAAGTGAAAGTGAAAACCAAGAACTTAGAAGAAAAAAAAACAGTTTTAAAAAGATTTTTTTTTTTACAAAAGCAAAATTAATTTATATCATTAAATAAATAATGTTCAATACAAGGAGGACACAAATAAAGCACGGTATGTCGAGACCAAGAATCAGTCGTCCGAGTAAGCCACGAGCAACATAATTAGTTTGACGCTTAACAAACTTGACTTCAAAGTCGTTTCGAGTAACTATAAGATTCTTAATTCTAGCAATGATCAAACTAAATTCGGAGATGCCGGATGAAGTAGCGTGTAACACTTGAACCACTAATTGAGAATCACTTTCAAAGATGAGATGATTCAAGTTTAACTAGATTGCTTCTGAAATCGCTTCCTTTAAATCCAAAGCCTCAGCCTCAACAATGGAATAATGACCCCTATCCCACGAGGTACATGCCACTTTGAACTCGCAGAAATCGTCTCAAACATACCACCATTTGTTAATCGTGCCAATATTATCTTTAAACCCCACATCGACATTACATTTCAACCAACCAGTTGGAGGAGGTTACCAAGTATTCTGCAGATGGTTACTATTAGTGTCACCCCAAGCGACTCTTGGGAAAAGAACCAATCCTTCCACAAGTGATAGTTCTACGCACCTAGGTGATTCGCATCCAACTTGTCCTCATTCCAGATCCAGTTATTCCTATTATTCCACAATATCCAAATCATGGCTGCCACCCTCTCGGCTACTTTGAAATATTCCTTATTATAGATGTCATGGATCACATTCTGAGCTTCCTGCATAATGGCCAACTGCAACCTAATAATATGATCAAGCCCTACAACACTCCCACAATTAGCCGTTAATATACAACCAAAGAAAATATACCACTCGTCTTCCACGTCGGTTTTGCACAAATGGAAAATATGAGGACAATGAACAAAGTATTGTCGAAGACTATTCCTAGTAGACAGGCAGCCCCGTCATAAGAGCCAAAGAAGATGCTTAGCTTCTGGGGGCGCTTTGATCCTCCATAAGCTACACTAGTCACATTCCAACCTTATGTTTCTAAATTTATGATGCTCCTGCCACCAGAGTAACCTGTTTTAACACTATATATTCCATTCCGTTCTTCCTTCCACACAATACTATCCTCCGTAACGTCATCCACAAGGGGGCCTGCAAAATAATATTAGCAGTCTCATGTGAAAACAATTCAGTAATTTTATTGTGATCCCATTGCTTATGGTTAGGATCCATGAGATCCTAGACCGTCAGGCTATAGACATGGTGATCATGTGGTGCTTCCAACCCGCACCCCCTTCTCCTCTCATCCACGGATTCGACATTACCTTTATCTTACTACTATCACCAATCCTCCATATACTCCATAATACTAACACTTCCCGAGCTTTCCAAAGACTCATCCAAACAAAGCTAGGATTGGTGCCTAAACTCGCTAACAGAAAAAAAGAGTTAGGAAAATATTTGGCTTTGAATACTTTGGAGACTAAGGTGTCTTGGTTGCTCATGATTAGGGGTGGCAAACGGGCGTGCCCGGCCCGTTTAGGCCTGGCCCGTAAAAGCACACAAAAAAACGGGGCGGGGCGGACATAGTTGGGGATGATGGCCTAAAACCTAGGTTCGTCCCGCAAAAAAGTGAGTGCGGGGCGGGGAAAGCCCGCGGATACTACATCTTTTAGGACTAAAAATGAAAAATATTATGCTAATAATCACGCCTGCAAAGAAAACGGGGCGGGGTGGAGCGGTCACATTAGAGGATGATGACATAAATTCTTGGTCCGCCCCACACTAAAGTGCGGGTAAAACGGGCATGTCCAACAGGCCGGACCCATTTTACCACCCCTACTCATGATATACCAACCATGCTTCGTCACCGTGACTATATTGAAAGATTTAAAATCACGGAACCCCAACCCTCCTTCCTTTTTAGGATTAATTTAAAAAGAATTTAATTTAATTTTTTTATTTATTTTTAATTCTCTCTTTAAAAGGATTAATTTTTTATATATATCTCCTTCGAACTTATAAAATTAACTTTTAAAATTTATTAAATAATTAATATGTTTAGTCTATTATTCAATCAAATATATTAATCATTTAATAATCATGTATATATGATTTAGGATTAACCTCAACTGATCTAAATTAAAATTATAAATTAATCTAAAATAAATTGAAAATCACAACAAAAAAAATATTAAATGTGTTTGGATGTCATTGTGTAAAAACCACTCGATTCGTATTGAATATTAAATTAAATTTTCAAACCGAATCGTATATGTATTTTATACTTATTTATTTTTTATTAGTATGATATATTATGTTACTTTATTATTTGATGATAATTATTTTTATAATATTATTTATTAATTTAATTTAATCTATTTTAAAAAAAATCAAATATATACTATATATTATATATTATATTAAATTTATGATTTTTTATATTAAAATATTAATAAAAAATATAATTTATAATTTAAATATCTAAAAATCAATCCAAATTAAATTATATTAAATTGAATTGGATTGGATGAGATTTTTTAATCTATCATTTAAAATTAAATGTTATTAAATTTATTTTTAGTTCAGATGGATTTTCGTCTCATGTGAGATTTTTTACATATTATTATATGTAAATCATATATTTCTTAAATTATATTTTATGAATGTAAATCAGATAATTCTTCCTTCCTAGTCCTCTCATCTTATCCTACTCCTTTTTAAATCTATCTCTAATTCAAAATAAAATTTTGAGAAAAAAGTCGATGAAGTGACCTTGTAAATTAATTTCAACCGACGACGATTATTTTTATATTTTTTTAATGACATGTTAATTTTTGTTTATGACACTCTAAAACTTTAACTCAAAAAACATGATAAAATAAAATAAGAGCTATGATTAGATTATTACATCATGCTGACTCACCAACACTAATCACATAACATCATAATTATGAAGAAAAAAAACGTTGCAATAATTAAATTATAAATAAACCAACACCGTCACTTCCGTTGACTCATCGTTGACACCGTCATAACCGAAAAAACTACCAAATACCTACTCACCGGAAAACTCACAGTTCCGGCACCGGAACCACCGTAACTAACTTAGTTGATTAAGAAGTTAACGTGTAATACAGGAAAAAGCCTTCGATTGAAGATCTTGTACGGCACACATTATCGAAGATCCTTCCTTTCTGCAAATTCTCACCTTGCCTTATTCCGTAATTCATTCTTTTTCTCTCTCTCACTTCTTCTTCGTATTGAATATATATTCATCTTCTTCTTTTCTTCAATTTCCATAACCTTCGATTTTTCGTCTTTCTTATACGTAAATCCACTTTTCATGCTTTTCTTTTTCATTTAATTTTATGTACGCAAGATTTTAAAAAACGTCGCGTTAAGATTTTTTCGTGTCGCGATATCAATTATGTCGTGGCAGTATGAATTAACTTTGTTGGCATATTTTTTTTATTTTATAAATCGGATATCTTTGCGTAGAACCACAAAGATTAATCTTTAGATCTTTATAATAATAGACGGCAAACTCTCGTTAAGAGATTATATCGGCATTTTTTTAAATAGTATTGTGTATGTTTTTAATTAAATTATTGTGTTTTTTGTTATTATTGGAGTAAATAGAATAATTTAATGTTAATCTAATATTAACTAATGAATAATGATTTAATATTATGTTCGTGCTTTTTGTGATCTTGTTGATTTTTCAGAGTATTAGTGGATTTTGCGGTTAGTGTTATTGGCACGTTCAATTTAGTGGCATGATTAGAGGATGCATGATTTTATATAATCTTAGTTTTATGACTCTTAATTTTCCATAATCTTTTACCATTAAGTTTTTTTAAGACGGTAATCAGGAAGTTATATTCTTTATAATTGTGTGATAAACTTGAAAGATTTTAGATTTTACTTAGAAGTTACGTTTGTTCTTTGCAGTGTTATTCATCTTTGTGAGAAGCTAAAATACTGAATTGACTATTCTACCCCTTGTTCATGCCTGCTGAAAGAATGGATTCTGAATTGTGGAAATCAAATGAAATGTGGAAAGAAAATGGTTAGTTTATTCGACTTGATTATCTAGTTACTGTTAAGCTTTAACGTATTTGTCTTCTGTTTTTTGATTCTCTAATTACTCTTAAGTTCTACTATTTAAGTAGAAACATGTTTGTTTGTCCGTTTTTTTATTCTTTACTTATTATTAAGTATTAACGTGTTTCTCTGTCGGTTTTTTTATTCTTTACTTACTATTAAGTACTAACGTGTCTATCTGTCTGTTTTTTTGTATCGTGACGAAGTTGATATAGTTTCTTCTCTGGATGAAAGAACGCTCTTTTCAAGTTCTTTATCAGATTTGTGTAGCAGAAAATGTAAGTCTAATGTACAAAGTTTTATGCTGAAGTGTCTTGTAAAAACTGTTAGCTAATATGCTATGTGTTTGAGTTTGAGCAGTGCGATTATCTGCGAATAATGCTTTATATGCACATTCTGTGGATGCAATTGCGTCGCGTTACGAGGAAGAGAGGCTTACTGAATCGCTTGAAGAACTCAAGGCTCGAATAATTGTTAATCTACTCCCAGATGAGGATGATTTGCTTTCTGGAGTGACTAATGACTTCGTCATTCCAGATAGCACGGGTGATGAGGTCGAAGAACTAGACCTTTTCAATAGTGGTGGAGGTTTTGAGCTTGAAGATGATGGTGATTCGTCCTCCAGAGAAAAGAACTCTGAAATCATCGGTGGAGCTCGTAATAAAAATTCAATCGTGGGAGAAAATCTTTCTAGCGAACACGCTTCTAGAAGATTGTTTGTGAGAAATATCGACGGTGATGCTGAAAACTCGGTATTGAAAGCCCTTTTTGAGGTATAGATGCTTCATATTGAATACGTAAATTGGATATTGTCGACTGTGATAATAACTTACTTTTCTTCTTTTTGAAGCAATTTGGAGATATTCAAACTTTTGATAGAGCTTGTAAGCATCAAGGGAATGCTATGATAACATATTATGATATCAGAGGTTCCCAAAATGCAATGAGAGCACTCCAGAATCGACACTTCAGCTGCAGGAAATTCGACATTCATTATTCGACTTCTCAGGTTTGATGCTGCATTTTGGCTTATTTTCAATAGCTCCCCGTGATAGCTTACAAAAACAGATTATTTCTTGTATGAAAACACTGATAACTTGTATAATTGAATAGAAAAAAGCTTATACATAAGCACTTTTATAATAAGTGTTAATGATTCAACAGGTTCATCCCGAATTCAAACAGAACGAATGCAACCTCTGTCTACATCAGAAGAGTCCTCCCCTTAAGCCAACAACTGGCGTGCAACATGGGATCTCTCCAAGTGTTCTGAACAAGTCACCGTCTCTAACCATACATAAATCAGTTGGAAACCAATGTGAAATTTCTGAATCAAGTTTCTCAGGCCAGTTGAATTTTGATACTCAGCCTGAATTAGCTTTTCAACCTCATTCCTTCCCAGAACATCATCGTAGTGGTGTACGCCACAGTCCTCTTGACGTGCCTGCAAACGTCAATCTCAAAACACAGGAAAGAACCGATAACATGCAGTTTTTTCAAGTAAACTCCAATAGACCCTTCAAGGATTTTGAAGCATGTGGTAAGTCAATAGTGCAGGTGATTAGTAACCAAAATATCATGACACTTGCGTTTTTTCTTTTCCGTATCTAACAAGATATTTCGCTCTTTTATCAGTTTCAAAATCCTCCGGTAATGAATTCTCAAGCTTCCCTCTTCCTGGCCATCATGAAAACTGGACTAATTCCTATCCTCCGCCTCGAACCATGTGGCAAAGTTCACCTTCATTTTTCAATGGAGCTTGTGCAGCACCTACCCTACAAAGATTGAACCAAATTCCTATATCACCACCACATATGCTAACTGTTTTACCAACAAATAACCATCTTGTTCAATCACCTCCTCTTTGGCACAGAAGATATTCTTATCCAGCTGAATCTATAACACCACACTCTGTCGACTTTGTTCCTCATAACATGCTCCCTCATTTTGGACTCAACTTCCATAACCAAAGGGCCATGGTGTTTCCTGAAAGAAACCATATGATTAATTCAGTTGATACTACTTATAAACGCATTCGAAGCCGTAGAAATGTAGGCACGTCGAACTCGGCTGACTTGAAACAATATGAACTTGATATTGACTGCATTAAAAGAGGCAAAGATAACCGAACAACGCTTATGATCAAGAACATTCCCAACAAGTAAGTAGTACTACCGTTTTGTATCAATTTTTTTAACATCTCATTTCTATGGTTTATGACTTGTTTACTTGCAGGTATACTTCCAAGATGTTGTTGGCTGCAATCGATGCACACCATAAAGGAACTTATGATTTTTTGTATCTACCAATTGATTTTAGAGTAAGTGCTTTTTTTGTTCTCATACAGTTCTTAATTTTTTGTCATTCCTTTTATTTTTTTCCCGTAATTGTTCACATGGAATCAACATTGACTGCAGAACCGATGCAATGTTGGATATGCATTCATCAACATGACTGATCCTAGCTTCATTGTACCATTCTACAAGGTTAGCTGCAAAAATGATAACAATTATGGCTAAAATTAAGTGCAAACATCACACGTGCACGCGTTGTATCGCTAGACTAAAGCCTGTGATGTGATTGTGGCAGGATTTCAATGAGAAAAAGTGGGAGAAATTCAACAGTGAGAAAGTGGCATCACTTGCATATGCTCGCATACAAGGGAAGGCCGCTCTTATTGCTCACTTCCAGAATTCAAGTTTGATGAATGAGGATAAGCGTTGCAGGCCTATCCTCATCAACACGGACGGTCCAAATGCTGGTGATGAGGTACAATAAGATTGACTCTAACTCATCCATACATAACCGGGGTCTGTAAGACTGAAATATGTCATTATTTATAATCTCTTTTAAACGATTGGTTGTCCATTGCTACTAACTTTTCTAGCTACACAGGTACCTTTCCCAATTGGTATAATTGGTGGCAACAAAAATGTAAGAGATAGAAGCAACACTCTTGAGCATAACACTCCTAATTCGGGAAACTTGCAACCATCATCTGATAAAGACAGTATTTCAAAGGAATCAGACTAAGGAATTCACATTTGTTTCTTTTGCCGTCTCATTAATTTTACTTAAATCACTAACCATACAAATTAAAGTAATTTGGTTAGACAAATAAAGTGCTTACATTAGGAGTATATGTACATAGGTACCAATACTTCAATTAAGCCAAGAAGTTTTTCAATTCATTTTGTTTTTTGTTATTATATATGAGCATGTTAGATCAGTGTCGTGTTGGTGTGCATGTCGATGCTTGAAAGACATCAATGGAATTTGTCTCAACTTTGAGTTTGCAAGTCAAAAGTACTGGAGTTTCGAGTTTAAGAAGTATGAACATTGGAGAGGCTTGTATAGTTCTTTTTTCTTATTCAAGGCAATTTTTTTTCTTGTAAATTTTAGGTTTACTTGATCGGATTTGGAGTCCACTTCCTGTCATGTAATTTGTTTTTCAGTGGAAATTTTAATGAAATAATTATTTTTTTTGCTGAGTCCTTTTTTGGTATACATTTTGATTGTTCATCATTGTTAATATTTGGCATGCATACTCTTGTAAAAAAATATAGTTTGGATGTTAAAAAATATATTTTTCATGCATACTCTTGTAAAAAATGTATTTTGGATGTTAAGAACTCAGCTCCTTTAAAGTGAAAGATGCATTTCAAATGATAAACTGTGGAATATAATTGAAAGATCACTTTTATAATGTTCTATATGACTCAAAAATATTTATCTAAAAATTAAGTTTATTAAAATAACAATTTCTTAGATAAAGAGAAAAAAAGAAACTATAAATCTTGAATGAAGAATACTTTAAAGCCATTCAAAAATTTCAACAGATTTATTATATAATGTCTAAGCAACAAAAGATTCTTAACAAGAAACAAATTAATACTTGATAATGACTAATACCTATAATAGTAATTGGAGTTAGTGAGAAGTCAGTTAGCTAATTAACTAAGTTAGTCACAAATTAGTTAACTTCTCTACGCTTTAGAATATCCTAACCAACTGTTGGTGTATAAAGGAGAGATGAAAGACAAAAGAAATATATTGAACGATGACTACAAAATAAGGAGTAATGAATAATTATATTGACCTATTACTAGGCTATTTATACACAAAATTAGGATATAATAAAATACTAAAATATCCTCTAACAAACTTAGTCAATAAGACATTCCTAAAATATAAATTATTTTCAACATCATCCCTTAATTTATATTTACACAAAACAGACAACACCAATTCCATTCCTCAAACAAAGAAATTGATCAGTCTTGATAGCCTTTGTTAGAACGTCCGCCAGCTGCTTCTGGATACTACAGTGCACAACTTCTGATATTCCACTCTAAACCTGATTCCTCAGAAAGTGATACTTGGTCTCAATACGCTTGCTTCTCCCATGCAGCACTGGGTTCTTGGCAAGATTGATTGCAGACTTGTTATCAATCATCAGCTTCAGAGGTTTGTTTACCTCAATCTTAGATCTTGCAGCAAGTTTAGAATCCACACAACTTGGTATGCAGTCAGAGCGCCTGCAATATATTCAGCTTCACAGGTTGACAATGCAACAACAAATTGCTTCTTGGAACAACAACAAATAGGACATCCCAGAAATTTGAATAAGTATCTAAAAGTAATTCTTTTGTCAACTTTGTCTCCATACCAATCAGAGTCTGAATAACTCAAAAGTTTGATTCGGTCTTTCTTCCAGAAGGAAATAATACTTCATACTTCAGAGTTCCCTTCACATGCCTCAGAATCCTCACAACAACTTGATAATGAGACCACTTTGGTTTACTCATAAATCTGCTAACCATTCCAACAACATAGCAAATATCAAGTATGGTATTACACAAATAACTCATAGAACCAACCAACTGTTTGAAGGTTGTAGCATCCACATCCTCTCCATCAGAATCAGAGTCTAACTTCTGATTCGTATCAGCAGCTGTGATACCAGCTTTATAATTCTCCAACTTAAATCTCTTCGGAAGCTCAAGTTCATACTTCATCTGATACAAAATGATTCTTTTCTCAGAGTACATAAACTCCATCCCTAGAAAGTAACTATTTTCCCAAGATCTGTCATCTCAAACTCATTCATCAGAACCTTCTTGAACTTAGCTATCTCTTGTTCAGAACTTATTGTTAGCAATATGTCATCAACATACAAATATACATGAATCATATTGCCTTCTGAAGTGTGCTAAACATAAACACCATAATCCATCTCACACTTCTAAAACCCTTGTTCCTTGAAAAATGAATCAATCTTCAGATTCTAGGCTCTGGGTGCTTGCTTCAATTCATACAAGGTTTTGTGTAATTTGAACACTATAACACCTCAATTTTACCCAACAATTATAAATGTAAATCAGAGTCATAAAATTCATGCAACTGAATCAGGATGCCACAAATTCAACTTTAAAAACACATTGCATTCAACGTGGATACATAACACTTTAAAACTTCGGATGAACTATCAGCATAATAATTTAATCTCTTAATTCAACAACTTAAACATCTACGCAGCAGAATTCTTAGTAACATCTTTGTCCATTATTACAGCAACTTCAAAACAACGCATACTCAGCAACAATCAAATTAAAGTTCAACAACTGAAATAATCTATAATTAAAAGCAATAAGCTTTCATCCCCCCGAGTGTTACGTATCAGAGCAATGACACCGACTCGAACTACTAAAGGTATACAACCTTCACTCTAGATTACCTGCATGTTACCAACGTAAGGGTAACATTCAAACAGAAGGGGTGAGATATCTAACAATATAATAAAACGTATGATAAATAATATATTAAATTAGATCACATAGCATCACCACTTCTCATTGTATAAACAACAATAATCGCAACAGAATACCAACAATACACATTTACCGCATCAATACACAATTTCTTTATGCAATCATATAATGCGACTCAATACTATGCAAATGCATGTGATACCGTTGGAGCATAACTCCCATATCAAAATAATTGCCAATAAATAGAGGCATCAACAAGGCATAAGCATTCATCTTAATATTCGCCAATACAAGCCATCTTAACGAGTATCAGCTCCATCTTGAAATACAATGTATGCACACAATCATGAATGCAATAACAACAACCATAATTATCAACATCTCAATCACAACATCATCGTTGTCTAGAGGCCTACATCTTAATAGCTGCCAATTATTAGAGGCATCTCAACATCTTTCATCAACATCATTCATCAACATCGTTTATCAACATAATTCATCAAAGATTATTTATCATCATAATTCATCAAACATCATTTATCATCATAATTCACAGCAACTCAGCCACAACGACAATACAATGAAAAACCGACAATCGTTCAACATTGGCCATAGGCCTATAACATGATATTACATATAATTAATTAATCATCTAAGACTTACCTCTAGTTAACAACCTCTACATATTATTATTCTGTAATACTACATCATTATCATCATTAATCTTACTGTTATAAACCAAACAGTAATATATAATTATCTCATCCTCATCATTCTTCACAAAATCATCATAGTGATTAACGCGGGAAGCTAAATCAAGTCCTAAATTGAGTTACTAGGATTATTCTTCTTATCCTTCATTTTAATCCTTAAGAATGAAGTTCATCGCGTTAGCTATCCAACACTTCGAATGACACCTCAAACGGAGTCCGAAAACTCAAATTACAGCCTTCGAAAACAAATCTGTCAAAAATCAGACTACATGAGTCGACACATAACGTCTTGAGTCGACGCGTACCGGGCTTAACACGCTGCATGTATCGACGCGTACTCCCTTCGTATCGACTCATACTGAGTCTACAACACTGCATGTATCGATGCATGCTCCTTCGTATCGACTCATCCCGAGTCTAAAAACCTGCATGTATCGATGCATGCTTCTTCGTATCGACTCATCTTGAGTCTAAAAGCCTTCATGCATCGACGCATGGCTTTTGGGGTCGACACATACTGTTCTGTCATGAATATTTTCTACGATTTCACTATATTTTCACTGCGGTTTCCATGCTTTAGGCCCTAAAAACATTCTTTAATCATATGTAATCATCAATTATAATTATCCTATATTTCTACATCAATTATACAGCATTGGGGCATCATTATTCATCCTTAGATAATTGATTCTCATCAAACAACAATGTATATAATTCAATCATAACCAAACAATATTTCACATCAAATCCCACATACTAATCATCATAAGCCCTATTATAGAGTCAGAACCCCACCCTTACCTTAGATTGAAGGTTTCTCTATGATTCTCTTCCGATTGAATTCTGTTTTGCTATTTTCCTTCTTTTTTGCAACTTTCACGTTCTCTTTCTCTTCTTCCAAACCTTATTTCCTTCTCTTCTTATTGCTTCTTATTTTCTTATTATTTTCTAAAAACTAATATAATAACCCTATAATTCTCTTTATACCTTATTGGGCAACTACTACACCCCCTTTTCTACTACTTCTATCCTTTAAAACAAGCCCACATCAAATAATATTATCATCCTAATATTATTCCACAATTTAATAGAATAAATAAATTCAATAACAATAACACATCAACTATCCTCATAACACAACTTCACAATTATTCCAAAAATAATTTAATTAAATAATTAATTAAATTACGGGGGTTACAACTCTCTCCCACTTAGAATATTTTCGTCCTTAAAAATTTACCTTAATCAAACAACTCAGGATAGGAGCCTCGCATCTTGCTCTCCAATTCCCAAGTCATGCTTTCTCCGACAGCTCCTAGCCAAACCACTTTAACCAAAGCAATCTCTTCTCCCCTCAGAGTCTTTATTTCACGATCCGCGATCCGTACATGTGTCGTCTCTACCGTAAGGTTATCCCGTACTTGCACATCATCCATATGAATCACATGAGATGGATCTAAAATATACTTCCGAAGTTGCGACACATGAAAGACATCATTCAAATTCGAAAGATTAGGCGGTAAGGCCACTCTATAAGCCATATTCCCCA